TAGCCGGGTTTATTGATTAAAACTATGAGAGAAATACCATAAATTTCGCCGAAAGATATAGTCTGGCATGCTCGAGATAAAAATGTTTTACTGCTAACTTGTGTTGCCACTTTTCTTCATTTCTAATCGCTGAGTTGAATAAGGAAAAATTACTTACATTTGTACAAATATGAAATATATATAAAAAAAATTCGAAATTCAAAATTCGAGCTTTGAGGTGTACATATTCGGATGGAGGATTACGTGTATTCAAAACATGGCGGCTCAAGTGGCTGTCATTTGTCCACAGTATGAGAAGTATGCATAGAATACAGATTCTTCATTATTTAATTTTTTTAAAATAACACATTAAGATATCATTTGATGGCAACCATTTGAGAAGTGATTCGAACAGAGTGTATTTAGAGGTTAGAACCTCTGCTAAAAACATAGGAATTAATTTTTCAAAGGCATTTATTATTTTTAGTCCTTCCACAATTTTGTTAATGTAAAGCGTACCCTATATGTATATTTTGATCAGGCCGTGTATAAAAATTTTTCATTTCAGTAGACTTCTTTCAACGATTCATAATTTTGCTAATCTCCGTTTTCTTCCCGAGGAGTAAATTTCGTAACGAGGTTTATTGCGCTCATGTAATAAACAGGCAGCAGCAATTCCCAAAGCTCTGTCAATTGAATCAAAAAAACCCTGAAGCTATTGTTAACAGCAATTTAGTAGAATTCACTTTTTAAATATATACAGTTTTATCAACATCATTAACTATATATAGTTTTACAACTGCTTATTCATGTGACAAAAAAATAACAATAAGATATAAATTTTAATTTCCTTCATAAGTGTATTTAGAGATTATACCTCTGTATCGAGAGTCACCAGTACTCGTTAAAACAAATTGGCAGAAATCAAAATTTTATTTGTTTATTTATTTATTGGCATGAAAAATATTTGAAAATCGAAAGCAAAGACAGATAATAATTTCAATAAAAAAGGACAAAAACGTCAAAGTTTGGAAATGGAATTTTTCTAATGTTGCAAAGATAAGAATTTCCGTGTTACAAGAAAATTTGCGAAGCTAAAGGACAGTTGCATAATCATTAAAATATCCAAAGTGTCAAATGTAAACAAAATGATTAATGCTGATTAAATACTGAAAGGGCGAAAAAACGTAATGTACATAGTCGTACTCCACGACATATCGCCGGAAGTAAAACGTGCTTCAGAATTCTTTACAAGACACAATTATTCGGACAAAAATAGAAAAGTGTTATCACAATGATCCCCAAGATGAATCTTGGTTGTTTAAATAACCGCAATAAAAATAGATCCATTTATTATCAAAGAGAAGCGGTGGTGTATTTAATTATGGCAATCTATCTGCCTAAGGGATGACCTTCGTGGAGGACTTTCTAGGGAAAACTGGCTCGTATACACGTTACACATGAGGAAAACCACGAGAACAGCCATGCAGCCAGCCCGTTCGCGGGATTCGAACCTCGGACCGAACTACCAGTGTTCAGCGACTTTACCGCTCGGCCGCTGGTAGGCCCAGCAAAGAGAAGAAAAAAAATCTTAGAACATGAGGTTTAAAGAATGTAAAGAAAGTTTTCGAAGCGATTTATAACTGTTGCTGGTTTTCGATATAAAGACAAATAAAAATTAAAGAGAGTGCAGAAAACTGTTCTACTGCAATTTTATACCCACTTCTCAAATATGAAATACCTCCTCTTAACTCAAGAGTGCCTTCAATCAGTGCAGCTGCATCAAGACAAAGCAAGCAGCCACAAATCAAAATCCACTGTAAATTTCCTAGAAAAATAAAACAATAAACGTGTATCTTCACTCATATCCCTACGAAATCTCCTGATATACCATCCACAGATTTTTGCGCTAAAGCTATTCAAGAGGACTGGAATAAAATACTTCCTTCGATACTAAAAAAGGTCTCGAAAATTACGGTGTAGAAAAATAGTGAAGAATACGGAATATCAAATGGAACATTTTGAAGACAAAAATTTTAGTTAAAATATTTCTGTAAGTACATGTAAAACATCTAAAAAATGCGCGGTATGTATAAGTGCATGGCACACACATATGTATGCGCGATATTTAAAGACTTGGTTCAATTTTGTGGTGCGACTGTATGACAGCCATCCGCAAAGCAAGACGATTTTATAAGCAAGCAATGAAATGGAAAGACGCAGTCTAAAAATTATTATAAACAATTTAGAACAGAAAGGGGAGATACATCAATTAAAATGAAGAATTACCGAGGCTTGCTAATTTCAGAAATAATTTCGAGTTATCGACTTTTTTTTTTTTTTTTTTTAATCTTGCATATAAACATAGTTAGCTCTTATTCTTCAATAAAGAAAAATTTTAATTTTGCGGAATTTTTAAAAGTTTTTATCGAGACTTGTATATTTTTTTTGAGTTGGGTCGGTTTGAATCCAAGAAAGATATTTTTTCCAGCGTCTGAAAAACAAGAGGCGAATAAGAACAATTCAATTAAACTAATTACTGACGTATGTTCTTTGATCTAAAAAAAACATCGTAAAGGGGGGGGGAACGGTACCCATTTTTCTCCCGAAAAAAATCTTAAACCTCTAAAGAGAGAAAAAAAGACGCTACTGTAAGGAGGGGAGAGAGAAAAGAAGAGAAAAATCACAAAAGTTGAATCTGAAAATTTAAACCGTGCAACTTATCTTATTATCTTCTGTGAAATTAAATAACAAGATTTCAAAGGAAAAAGACTTTACATTTTCAGGTTAAGTTAAAAGAAGCAGTATTTTAAATCACAACATTAAAAATACCTGGAACTTTAAACAATAATTTCAGAATGGTACGTTAATTATTTCTGGTGTTAACTAATGTACTATAAAAATGAAATTATTTATGAAAATAAAAACCTGCACACACGATTACGAAGTATGAAATTTCTTTTCATTTTTAATAATAATTTTTTTTTTCTCCATTTCGGGAGACGTTACTTATTACACTTCGTAAAGCTAAAATAAATAAAACATTACACACTTTATAAACTTAAAATTAAAAAAAAAGTTTTGCATTTAAAATATTACATATGCTCACGCAAAAAGGATTACTTATAAAAGGGATGTTGAATATTAAATACGAAGATTCTCTGTGGATGCCTAAGTACAGAATAGAAGACTATGCAAACATGAAAATCAACTTTTGGAAAGTCCTCTCATGAACCATCTCCAGATTTTACTCTATTACAAATAAACTGAAAGCTTTATGGAAGACTAGCCTTATTTACATTACACAACGGAAAATTACCAAAACGCCCAAGCATCCAGCCAGTTAGCTAGGATCTGATCCGAGTTAAACTACCAATATTCACAGGTCTTATCTACTTGACCATTAGCTGCATACTGTAACTGATCAGATAAGTAGAGAAATAAGCCTCTTTAGAGAAGACTATTCACAACATTCTAGACACAGTATTAAAAAGTAGGTCTTATTTCCTACAACAAATGCTCTTCAAGACGAATCCTCGAACAGTAGGAATTGCGCATAATACTTACATAAATTTTGCACATACAAATTTACTAATATTTTTAAATGCGTTTAATTACAATTTAAAGTTGTATTAAAAAATATTAAAAAACGGGGAGCGCGTTTATAAGCTTGGCGGCATATTATAGCGCCTTCAGAAAGAATGGCGACTATTTAATCATTTTCTCCATTAATCGACTTAAAGTTCTTATAATATCACTTCACCTATTCAGATCAGTGGCATACACAATAACCTCACAGTATATAAGGGTTTTAAGATGGAGTATTAAAAATATTAGTTGAGTTTTTGATTAGCTGTACTAATCAAAATTGTTTGATTTACCTTTACTATGCAAGTATTTAACAGCATCGACCGCCTTGACTGTCGATAGATCAAATTCACTTTACCTTATATCTAAATACTGTTTCTTGGTGGTGGTGGTGGTGGTGGTGTCTGTGGGGGAAATAACTTCGAACTGCGCTTTTGGATATTCTGTCTATATCAGGGGTTCTCAACCGGTAGTACGCAAAGAAGCAAAGTACGAGCCCAACATCCTGATTTAATTTTTTCTCTAACACTCGTAAATTTATGCGATCTGAGCTTTGTTAAAGAATGGTGGTGGTAGTAGTACTTTGTAGTGGTGGTACTAAAGGTTTTCAATTTTTGTTTAGATGGTACGCGTTAGTTAAAAGGTTGAGAACCGCTAGTCTACATGATGGAAATACAATGATACGGAACAGTTTACAAATAGAAATCTGCTTAAACATACGTCTTGTAGCATTTTAAACTACTATCATTGAAAACAATCTCTCTGCTCTCGGATTTTTAGCCACTAAAATTACCGAAATGTAAGTTACGTTAACTTGCCTATTATTATCACTGTAATAAAATATCTACGACGACAAAGTAGCATGAAGAAATCTAACTGGGTTACTAGTATATAACATTTTAACAAATAAATGCACATTAACTCTCGAGGAAAAAAACATTTCAAGTTTTGTGCTATAATAAAATAAAATAGGTATCCTTGTCATAAAAGTTTTGTGCTATAATAAAATAAAATAGGTATCCTTGTCATAAACGGAACATGTTAAATCCTAGAATGTTTCTCTCGAAAGAAATCTATATAATTAAACTTTCTCAAGATCCTTTCTCCCCCCTTAAACACCCATTTTTATCGATGACGTTTCCACGACAATATTTCCCCCAATGTAAGTTCCTCCCCTAATTTCTAAGTCCCCTAACTTCTAAGTTCTAAGTAATTTGAGAAATTCTGTGAGCGGTAGGACCAAGTAAATGAATAACAAACGTAACAGCTATTAACGATCTGTAATAACCATTTTTTCATATATTTGTATGCGTTTAGAAATGACATAATAATTCTAATACCATTCTGCTAAATGATGATTATTTTAAGCAGCATCTATCGCATTTTAAATTACAGGCTTTTTCATTGCTCCAAAAAAGAAAATGACTACTTACAGAGAATATTCAGTTGCGCTCCTTGACTAGCCAAGGATATGCCTGTGGTAACGTTGGTAGCTATGCATTTAAATTCACCAAGGTCTTTGGAAGGATCGACTCTTGTGATGTGTAAGTTGCTTCCATCTTGGTATCTCCGGGATGTATTAGCGACAGGATCGCCGTTTAACGTCCAGTAAAATACTACATGTCGGCTGTTGGATACGCCACACTCTAGGGTGACACTTTGACCCTTGCGGACGTCCTGGTCTTGAGGATGTGGCTGAAAGTAGTAACTATCTTGACCATAAGCCACAACCAGGAAAAATATATATCCTAAAAAATTAATTAAAATCATATCAAAAGTTAATCATTAAAAGTACTAAGGCTTAGTATCACATTCATAGTAGCTAAGTGTCTCTGTTTGGCGTTCTATTTATTCTCAATATACAAAAAAGATGACTGTATCCTAACTTCATTCAACCACCTTTATACAAAACTTTTGAACACCAAAAATTGATAACATGCAGGTAATATAAAATATCAAACCTTTTTTCTCTCCTCCTGACTTAGCATTGGTAAATTTATATTAAAATATGATGAGATCAGACTTTTCGCTTTTTCATTTATATATCTAATCTTAAATTCATTTAGTGCGAAAACAAGTTATTACTACTTGCGCAATTGATGCAAAGTAAGTTAATAATAACTTATTTACTAAATAATATTGATTAATTGATTTTTATAATAATCCTACTATAATTAAACTTAGGAGATAATATAATCAATTAATCAATATTATTCAGTAAATAAATTATATATATATATATATATTCAACTTTGAACTTCATACTTTCAAAGCCCGACGTATTATACTTTGGATCGTCCTCCCCTTAATCTACGAAATGCTACTTTACTTATACCCAAATTCAGACTCCAGCATTTTTTAAGTTCAGCACTCTTATATAGCTTATATAAGCTTACTACAGTCATCTTATACAGACAGCTTTCTCTATAAGCATTGTATATTTTTTACGAACCTGATAAATATCCGTAAGGCAAAGAATGGCAAAGAATTCTGTAAAATTTATTGGATACGCCACGTTTCATAAATTTTTCAGAAATATTCCTTATATTGGATTTAGAGGAGTCACATCGAGCTATCGACTATCCCATGAATAACAGCGTTTATATTTCAAGTAAAATCCATTCGCTGAAATACTTGACGTCAGTCGAATAAATAGCTTTCATTAAAAAACAGAAACTACAACATCTTAATACACATAAATAATTATAATTTTTTCCACTATTTATGAACATTTACTAAAACTACCCTCCAAAAATGAGGCCTACAAGCGGAGGAGCGGTAAAGTCGCTGAACACTGGCAGTTCGTCCGAGGTTCGAATCCCGCCAACGGGCTGGCTGCATGGGCGTTTTCGTGGTTTTCCCCATGTGTAACGTGTATACGAGCCAGTTTCCCTTAGAAAGTCTTCCACGAAGGCATCCCCCTTAAGCAGATAGCCTTAGTGTGCTTTGCCATAATTAAATAAACCAAACCAAACCCTCCAAAAATGAACTTGTGACACGTAGTGTGATTTGCACTTTAGAATTCTGAGGCATGCAAACGGCTACAATTATATATTTAGAACAGAAAGCAATGAATTTGATACGGCAAGTAATTCCCTATTGGTAACCAATACAAAATGTGCCAAATTAAAGTTCCTAGAGTCTGTCTGGGGTATTAATCTGCTAACTGACTTCAGATTTGTAACCTAGTTACATAGGGTGTAAAAGCAATATGAACACAACTGACCCGTTGCGAACAAATATGAGTCTTAGCATTTGTTTCTGCGATTACCAGCTAAAAGCGTGAGAGACATCTGACGGCCATTCGATAGCATTTGAGCTTGAGTAGAACTACCAGCATCCAGTGGTCTTACCACTCACCTGCTGATGGGCTTCCGCTATGTGAATGAAAGAACAATCATCCATTGGTAATAGTTTCTCTCTTTAGGTAACCAGATATAAAATCCATTGGTTTCATCTCACGAGGCTATGTAAAATCAAATGTACGAAGAAGCTTTGAACAAAACAGATCTCTGTGTGTTCCACAGTTAGTTTTCACAACCAGATGACGCGAAGTAACTCTAAAGGGCCATTCACACTTAAGTTCATCTGAACTAAAGGAGTCAGTTCCATGTGTCGACTAGCTCCGCTATAGATTTTTCAACTAAGGGCCGTTCACACTGGGGTCAACCCATTTCGAAAGCAAGTTTTCCCCCCTAGGACAGCGAGTTGAAAAATCTGAACAGCAGGTATAGCGAAGCATAATCAACTTTTTTTGCGCAATCATCTAAATTAATTTAATATTTCTTCTTTAAAATATGCTATGCATCTATTATATTTTTATATAATTTAAGTCAACGAAAAAATTAAAAACATATAAGAAAGCTCCATAATACCTAACTTAAAATGAACAACTGATTCGAATAAATGAAGTTCCGAATAATAAGAATCCAGATAATTCGAGTGCCAAACAACAGGAATCCTTACAACTGCAGTTCTACTATTGTATTTAAAAATATATACAAGAAATGCTCAAAATTTCACTCGATCTATCGTCTTCCTAATGTTTAACAAATTCCAGGATAAGAGACTTACGAAATGTCTTTAGAAAATACAAAATTAAGTTGATAAATTACTCCATTTAGTTATCAGTGAATTACAGCCCATGATCTGGCGGAAGCAACATCGGCGAATGTCAAAAGTTACAACAAGGAGACTTTCCGAGAACGTGTCTAGAGAAAATATGACATCTGATATTATCTTGACGATAACAGACAGCCACCTGAAAAATGTGAGCACAGGTAAATACTTTATCACACAATGAACAATTTATGGCACCATTCCTTCTCCTTCTCCCCCACATTTTTCCACTTTTTTTTTTTTTTTTTTTTTTCCGGAACGAAAACGAAACAAGGGAAGGGAAGCCTATTTGTACAATATCCATATTTACATTTTGCATCTTTTCCTTTCAACATATATAACATCAATCGACTTGACGATGAGCACTAGAAAAGGAAAGCTATTTGAAGAATATCCATGGTTACATTTGGCATCTTTTGTTTTCAATATATATAACATAAACCAGTATATACAACTGAATCATTATTTACATAATCTAAATTGAATAACGGAACTAACTTCTATCGATTCTAGCTCTTGGCAATCGTAAACATGAGAAACACATACATACAAGAAAAAAGGAACTAAAAACATAAGAATAGTCGCAACAAAAAAAAAAAAAAAAAAAAAAAAAAAAAAAAAAAAATTATCCTCTTCCTATTTCTCTTCACAATTAGAAACAGCATCTAAGAATATTATTACGAAACTTATCGCTTTAGGAATTAATTAAAACTTGTACCTGTTCTTGGTAAACCAGATGCAATACAGTACACAAAGAGATAGGCGGTTGTTCCTATGTCAGCTGCTTAGCAATTGCACGGAAATCTTCAATACTTCTTTTTGTTTTTGTTTCCAGAGGAGATAAATTTGATTTAAATCTTTTTACATGGGCTACAAAATCAGTTGAAAAGTTTGCTGGCCATCATTCTTTGTCAAAGGACGACAGCCTTTACTTTTTGCTAAAAGATGATATGCCAAACTCTTGATATCCCAAGGATTGATATTAGGTTAGCAACTGGATGCCTACGTAATTATCCTCACAGCCTAGGCCCCCTAAATACAGATCTCAGCAAGCACTATAAATGACCTCGAGTAGAAGTTACGGAAGATAAATATTATGATCCTGTAAGTTAAATGAAACTGTTAACTTACACTTTACTGAAATAAAATACTAGTGAACGAATGAATTTTTACTCTAAACAAATCAAGTGCTTGCAAGGCAAAGATTAACAAAAAATTTTAAATGTCAGACAAACGACTGAAAGATCACATCACTATATATATGCGATATGTATTTGTCTTTTGCGAAGTTCTCAGCTCTGCAAAGAGGCTGCCTAAGCAACACCCGATGAAAAATTATGAAAATCTAACAACACGTAAAAGAAAACGACTATTAGCTATTCCCTACTTAAACTCGGCTTATGTAAAAAGCTGAGTTTAAGTAAAAAATTGATAGGCATGTGGGATTCAAAGAAATTATCATCCTTTTGAAGAATCTAGTGAGTATACCATCCATCTATAAAACAAAAGAGTTGCAGGGTTCAGTTCGTTGTTGTGCTAAAGCCTCCTTCACTGCTACTCCGGTTAATGCCCCTTCGATATAACGCGGCAATTTTTATTTCATTTATTTATATATTTAATCTCTTAAAAGTATTAGATTTACCATGATTCATTCTACGCGATTATAATCGAATATTCAAAACGTTGTAAATTTATGCTATTTTATTATAATACGTTTATCGCTTTAATTGCTAATCGCACTATCAAAAGATTTCAATTATGGATAGTAAATTTATACTATTTTATTATTAGTTTATCGTTTTTTGCTAATCACACTATTAAAAGATTTCAATTATGGATAATCAACTGAATGATTTGAATTACACATTGATTTGATTCCCTTTAACAAATGAGCATTTTCCGGCTATCAAACTGTATGATAGCTGCTTATATATGAAAATTCGCAGTACTATAATTGAAGACAAATCTAACCTGAATACAGAGAATAGACGTAACCGTCGCAAAAGAAATGACGAGGCATATCTTGAAAAATTCACTTTTCCCTCCTCTCCCCCACACACAAATTCTTTTCTTTGTAGTATTATATTATTAAACTCATAAAAATGAAATCTTTTACGCAACTCAAAGGAATCAACCTGGTTTGGAGTTTCTCGTCACTTACCATCTAAATCAGGGGTAGTCAACCTTTTTATAACTACCGTCCACTTTGTACGCAGTAAAATTTTATTCACTTTTCATCGGACTTGTGCATTCAATTTATTACGAACCCGAACGTGCGCAACAATATATTTGAATCGTGGTCATACGGTCTTCTATGTATTAAAATGATCGCGCATAACACTGTTTCGTTACGCACTTTGTTCTGTAGTAACACATCCTGGAAAACGCTGAAATTGCAGTATTCTAAAATTTCAGAGTCTTCATTCTAATAAAAACATTCGAAAACAAACGAAAATAAAATAATTGCGTGGTTCAATGAAGCATCCCTAGCGGTCAAGAAAAACTGCACATCTCAATCACAATAAAACAGGGCATCAAACCAAAAACAGTTTTTTACAGCAATCCTCCACTTAAAAAAATAGTTTTGCTATTTAACGTCTTGCACTCGTTAAGACAGAAAAAGCAAAAG